AAAAAAAAAAAAAAAAAAAAAAAAAAGGTCTTAGAGGAAGAAGGGTTGAGTAAGTAAAGTAGTTCAAGGTCCAGTCTCCTCTACAGATCAAAGGCAGGAAAAAGAAAGTAGTACAGTTAACAAAAGTCTGCTGTAGGGAGGTAGCATGTCCTTCTCTCCTTTCAAACAGAGAGAGTAGTACAGCTTTACATCTGTCTCTCAGATACCAGTTGCGTAGTGAGCTGAAATCCCCAAATATGGTCCTTTCCAGAGGATGAGTGGGTCTGAATTTGGGTGGTGAACTGGGCTTCACGTTATGATGTGAGGGCTACATTTTGCTGGTGGGATGCTGTCCTTGTGACTTGCAGCAGACTTTGACTAATAGCTCTACCTTTTGGCTAATTACGTAACAGGAAAAATGGCCTTGACAATGTGACTGTGTGAGGGGAAATAAAAGTATTAATCATCTTGCATTTGAGTATTTGGACAAAATGGGAGTAATGACCAGAATCCAGAACTCTTACAGAAATGCTAAATGGGTCATTTAGCTTCAAAACTGGGTATAGCTTAGTGTGTTTCAGGAACCATCTATAGTGCATTTGGCTGTGAAGTGACCTAGCTTTAAAATTAGAGGTGGACAGTTGGGTCCCATCCAAACTAGCTCTCCCTCAAAGGTGAGAGACAGGGGCTTGAACCCTGTAAACTAGGGGACACTTTTGTCTTGGTCTTCTTCCCATGGGAGTGTCGTTTGCAGCAGAGGAGTAAATGGTAGACTGGCAGGGCCATCTTATAAGAGAAAGGAAGGCATGAACCTGCCTTTGAAAGCTGCACTGCCAGGTAGGTTTATTTGTTGGTTTGTTTTTTTTATGATAGGTCACCAGAGATTTTAAGGGCTCTTTGGATGCCGAGCAGGCGTCTGAAATGGCAGTGCTTGCTGTTTGCGGAGAAAGGGATATAACTTGTTAATGTGTGACATAACACTGAGATACTTAAAGCGGAATGGACAGTAAATCTCCAATAAAACAGTGGGCATGTGCTGCAGGCCTCTTGGAGCTTGGACAGCGGAAAAAAGACCACAAAATCTACCCCAAATACTATATTTCAGAGGCACAGCATTTGAGTTATATCCATGAGACTTAATTTATAAAAACAGTAGTCAAATGATTTCTTCAATCACTATTACAAAAAAAAAAAAAGGAAGAAACAAGTATAATTAGTACCTGTAGATAGCTGTTCCTGGGCTGGAGAGGTTGCAGAGGAGAGGGAAGCAAGCTCTAGGCTTTCTCTTTAAATATCTGAATTCTCACAGGTTTTTTTGATTGTTGTAATTTGTGTTCTTTCATTAGTGTTGCTTTTCTAATTCTTGAAAACTATTTTTCTGACTCAAGTATTCTCTTAAATCTGGAATTTTGGCATTTATTAGCATCCTTTGTTTTTCTTATTATTAAAAATGTGTGCTACTCCTGAGGTGTTTCACTTGCAAAATACAGCAATGCCAAATCTAAGTATTTTAGTAAATTTGTCTTTAAGCCTTGTGATGGGGAGAGTTTATGAACATCTTTTTTTATTTCAGAGTGTCTTTAATCTTTATTTTTTAAATCATCTTCTCTAATTAAATCATATGGTCAGTCCTTATTATTTATATAATTACATATATGTATTTATAGAGCCCAGTTATTTGCATTACTGAGGAGTAATAGAGAACGGTCTTTTTTAGAGAACACCTTAACTCTTAGCTGTTTCTGAAAGTATGAAAAAAGCTATTTTCAGAACTAGTTTTTTGCTCCATGGAGTTTATACACTAATGACTTTTCAGGCTCTGAAAATATTCTGATATCAGTATTACTGCTGATTTATAGATGAGGAAACAATTTGTACAAATCCGTAAACCACTGTTTTTGTAAATGAGGAAGATAGTCCTGCTTCGGGTACTACTTTCATCTGAGATACATGCTGGCCAGTAAAGCAATGTATTACATATTTCACTGAAATTTTAGAGGCAGGCTGTTCTCCTACCCTTTACCTTAGCATAGCCTTTCTATACCAGTTATATCCAGTTTCCGTAGGTCTGCTGTCCTTTCACATTCTTTTCATAACCAGTTTTGTCCATGTAAAAGTCTTTTTTCATTGCTAAATTTTGCAGTTCACCTGTTTATCCTTCTGAACTTTAGTTCAAAGTATTTATAGCAATTTTTTTGCACATATCTTTTCCTACCTTAATTGGAAATCTTAGTGCTACCGTCACTTAACAAACACTGTCTGTGATCTTAACTTCTTCCTTACCTAAGTACTCTGCAGCTTCTCTCCAGTTCTTCTGATGTGTAGATATGTTTAGTTTCTCTAACAGATGTTTTTCTTCAGTAAAGTGCTCCTCATCCTGTTTTATCGTATATGAAAGCTCAGCTCCAAACATTTCCTTGAAACTCGTTTGGACTTTCAGCTCCAAACAATTCCTTAAAATGTTGTTAACTTTCATATGCCAGCAGTCTGCGTCCACTTCATGTAATACTTCCATTCCCCAAAGCGTTTCTCTAATACGTTTGAAATCATCTTCATACTGATCTTGGTGCATTAACGCACTGAAGCTTGAAATATATGCTGCTTCATGCTTTCAGTAATTTTGAACCACATACACAGTTACCGCATAAGGTACCTGTTTATTGGAAAGTTTGAGTGTAATTTGTGATAAGGCAGGTCGTTGTAGTGAAATAAGAAGTAGAGCTTGTACTGAATATAGATGACTGGAAGAAGCATACTCTATTTCAAACATAGTTGCATTTGACATGTCAAGTATGACCTCTGCTTCTGAAGCTAAGAACATGAAGACTATTGTGCTGTAAGACTTTTGGGTGGGTAGCTGTATGTGTACATTTTTTCCTCTAGAGACACAATGGAAAAAATAGCATTTTAAAGTTCTTATTATTTCAAACATATTTTGGCTGAGTATAGTACATAAAGTCGATGTCTATATGTAGCATTCTTGTAATAGTATCTCAGAAAAAAATCTCTCAGAGCAGTGAGTTTTCCTATGAACTGGAATAACTCTTTTTGCCAACAAAAGGCAGAAAATACCGTCTTTAAAAGTGAGGAATATGTGAAAGACAACAATACATTCTTAATGATGGGGTCAACTCATTTTGTGTTTTATTATGAAGTTCTTCTTCCTGTCTGATCACAGTCTGGAACAGTTCAGTTACGCAAAGACATAATGCAAATTTACCACTGGACTCCTGCCACTTTTCCATTCTGGCAGTCAGATGAGTTTGGGAGAAAGAAGCTGTGTAAGACAGGTGTTTCTAGCAGGCTGTAGACTTGCAAAATGGTCTTTTAAAAATATTTTCAGAGATACATTGAATACAAATTTCTGTACACCTCAAAGCCACAAAAAGGAAAAGTAATGACCAAAATCTGTAGCTCCAAAGTTGACCATATTTTAGAAATAGGGAGTGAATTTACAGGGAACAGGAGCGCTAAAAGATCTGTATTCCAGCCTGTCCAGTACTTTTAATTTGCACAAGGAAGTAGTACATGCAGAGACTTATATCTTAAAAAAGGTTAATGTCTAAATGGTTACATTCGTGTATGTTCAGTTATTTTTTGCTAAACAGTATAGAATTGGATATCATGTTGGGGTATGTTTGGGAGCTGATGAGATTAGTTGGGAGACCTTTGGGCTTGTTTGCTTGTTTTCTACACATACTTCCATGTTATCATTTGCCAAGAACATCCTTCCAGAATAAATTAAGGAGAGGTTCTGATGTAGCTATTTATTACATATATAGCGTACTTCTAAAGATCTGCCTTGAAGTGTTCTGCTTACTGCATGGATAGATCTGTAGCTGATAAATGATAAAGAGTAATAACTTATTAGTTAAATAAAGGCATTAATATGTCTGATTTCAGACTTCTGGGTTTTTGTTTGTTTTTTTTTTTAAACCAGAAAAAACTGAATGCCCTCATATAACTTTAAGTAGAAATAGGCATTAACTGGAATTGTTTCTGTTTTACTCCAACAGGTGGAGGTAAAGCCATATGTGTTGGATGACCAGATGTGTGACGAATGCCAGGGTGCACGATGCGGTGGAAAGTTTGCTCCTTTCTTTTGTGCCAATGTCACTTGCCTGCAGTATTACTGTGAGTTTTGTTGGGCAAATATCCACTCTCGTGCAGGACGTGAATTCCATAAGCCATTGGTAAAGGAGGGGGCTGACCGCCCACGTCAGATCCACTTCCGCTGGAATTAAACATGGTGAACCAGCATCTACATAAGGAAAGAAGGGTGCATGTGGCTTACTGTGTTTGAAGATACTGACATGCAGAAGAAATAAGTGCATTCTTCTGCTTTTCACCCCAGCTATCAATACATGCATCTTTATCAGCAGCCAAAACACTACAAGCCTCTTGTTTTTCACCAAAACCCTACATCTCAGGCTTACTAATTTTTGTGATATTTTCATGTTAAAATAAAATGTTTTTTTGTATTTTCTCCAAGTTATTTTTATATGTAAAGTTAAAACTAGATATGAGAATGTTTTTGCGTAGGGGCACACAGTCTGCTGCTATATTTAGTGGGTGAAGCGTGCACTTATTTCTAAACATGGGTTTTTAACTTCAAGATCTGCCCCAGTAATTTACCAAAGGTAGCAAAATAGTGAAGATGGAATATGTCTGCTACAAAAAGCTTATTTTTATTGTTGTTGCTATTTTCAGTGTATACATAAACTAAAAATTAGGGTTGATTTTTTGCTCTCCATTTTGACTTGCAAGAAATAATACCTCAAGATAATCTGATTTATTAGCTATTTTTAAACATTTTTAATCACAAGCTGTATTAGCTTTGCTGCTATATAGGTGTTATGTGTAATGCCACCTATTAATACGGGATTGAAACGTTTAAGACACACTGCATTACAGATTAAATGCAGGCAGCACAATATGGCCTAAACTGCCATAGTTTTAGAATGTGAAAAAATTGCATGTTTACTTACCTGTATACACCATATGCATGCACTAGAACTATTAATTAACAAGAGGTGAGTTATTGCAAATGTTCAAAAAAGGCTCTCTTGAAACTAGGTAGCATGAGCAAATTTACAAAATTTGTTACAAAAAACAAACTTGCATGCATTATTGTGACTGAAGTAAAAAAATGTCCTACATGTGTACAATATGCAAATTAGTTTTAGACTAGAAAGTGCAGCCATTTTGTGACCTGGTCAGTAGTGGAATTCAATTTTATGCAGACTGGATGTAATATTGTAATCCCTGTGCAATTTTGTGATGTGTGCTTCTACTTAATGTGGCGTGATGTAGTATAGATACAAGTTTGAGTAAAAAGCTAGCAGTTAAAAAATTCTTTTAAGCCCCCTTGATTGTTCATGGTTAAGATTTCCTCTACAAACCAAAGATGGCCAGCACACTGCTAACCAGTCACCAAATGTGAAACCCATGACGAATGCATACAAAAATAGACTTATATAAGAATGCATAATGCTTTAGAAATTAAATCTAAGTAAAGTCAAAATGGAGAAGGTGTAATATACAGATGGCTAGTTGCATAA